GACCGCCAGCTCAAGATCCGGCTACTCCAGGCTGAAGTGGTGGACTCTCCTGTATGGGTGCTCATCGTGGAGCCCAACAGCGGAGCACTACACGAAGCTCAATTGGACCCACCGCCAGTTCCTTACACGGTGCATCGGCTGGAGCAAGCTGAAACGCTCAGGCCGTCCCCTGTCCTATGCCCAGGCCCTCATCCAGGCAGGCTGCGAGGAAACCATCGAGGCCACCGTGCGCAAACGGAGACTGTGTTTCGCGGGCGTTGTTATGCGCATGGAGGACAACCGCCTCCCCAAGCGCATGCTGTTAGCCGTTGTTTTCGACAACAGACCACAAAAAAAACAAGACACAGGCCACCGTGCAAATCGATGTACAGTTCGGTTGGTGAAGCGTGACCAGAAGAACGACCGTTCCTTTATCTCTTCCAGTCCGCCAGACAGATTGTTTCAACACACATTTGTAAAAACTCCTTGTACGTTGATACTGTTGGGCTGAACGCAAAAAAATGCAAAATATTGGCGACGATGACTCTACGCCCTGATACATACAGGAGGAAGTATCCAACCACCACCAGCAACCAACAGCTTGCTTCGACAACACTTGCGTCGCGGCTCAGTATCTGTATCGTCTGCTGCTGATATCGGCGGTCAGCAACGTCGGCATCTCAAACGCCGAACAAGCCTACGAAATACTCTTACCACCAGGTATCCTCTGTATATTGCACTATGACTTAGGCCTCCCCCTCCCCATTCCCAAACACGCCTTACGGCCACATACAATTGGGAGGAACAAGCACCAACCAGCGGCCGATTGTCAGCGATCTCTGGAGCTCGCCGTGCTTGGGTCTCTACAAAGAGATGCATTCAAGACCCAAGGAAGTAGACTAAACTCTCCCCGCCCTCACCTTCACCAACACCACTAGTGACCAAAACCAACCCTACCGACACGCTACATCTAAGGCTGTACGAGAGAGAGATTCCATCACATGAACGCAGACATACCCTACACGACGGTGCACACGAAATCGTCACCCCCATCTCGCGATCGCCCCAAGAAAGAGGGAAAAGCGGAACGAACCGTATTCGTTCAAAATATCGGTCTCACGTGGTTACTATTATGAGAAAGAGGGACAAACCGAACGGCATATTACTTCAAAATGTCACCCTCACTACGTGGTTGTTGTAAGCACAGACGGAGTGCACAGGCAAAGACGGTGACTCCAGACCAAAAATGCCGTGGAGGCAGCAGGCGTATCACAAGGTGATGATGTTCCCGAAGAAGGCAGCCCACTTGCATTGTAACAAGAGTGGCTCTCACCGCTCGTCGTACGACGCATCTTCACAATCGCGTACGACTAGAAGTTTAAGGAAAAGATAACTACGACCCCACCTGCGACCCTACTTACTTCCCTCGCCGGTTTACTTCCGACACACAACAAAAAATTTCTTGCCCGCATCTCACCCTACCTCCCTTTTCTAATTTCATGATCTCATTCATTCATCCCAAGCGTGCTGCAAAACCTATTTTCTTTGCCGAAATATCCGCCCTCTCCCCGAAACACGCTTTATCCCCTTACGCACAACAGCGCCAGCAAGTGCCAAGTGCTTTCAAGACGCTTGGTTGTCCTGGCGTAATTCCCCCCCCACAGTACACTGTGGTCCTGTGGGGAAAATGCTCCGTCCTCTTCGAGAACGCGCGGTGAATGTTCTAACAGCAGCTCGGAATGAAAATTAGTGCAACCCCCCCCCCGCTTGGAAAACCATTGGGCATCGATGATCGGTCCTGCGGGAATATTTCTCCGTCCTCTCGAGGACGCGTTGTCAATGGTCTAACCGCTATGGCATGCAAAATATAAGAGTGCGCCCCGCCCCGCCTCCCCCTGCATGAGGCCAAACCTCGTGGCGGGCGGCGGCGATAGACGAGGAAGAGCAGGCAGAAACACGCAAAAAATAATACTCCGAAGAGGAAGATAGCATAAAAGGTAGGCACAAAAGGCGGACAAGAGAAAGTATGTCAAATACAACATGACAAAGAAAAAAGGCAACAACACGGGTGGCATATTCTACGGCGTGCACTCGCCCACCTCCGCCGGCCTGCCGCATCAAACCGCGGGCGATTGTATCGAGAACATTAACTTCGCATCCCCCGTGGAAACGCACGATGGATGAAACTCATCTTCCTCGTCAGGGAACGGCTGCCTAGGCTCCATGCCCCCGACCATCGACCCGTAGATACGTTTTTTTTCAACTACCGATGGATCCGGACTGCGCCGCGAAGGCACGAATTCCACGTGAAATACACGTGTATATGATACATTTTCTCTCGACCCCGCTGGAGGGGTTCGAAGCAACAGAGCGAGCGCTGCCTTGCGATTTCGTGTTTGGAGCACGGCAGTCATCTCTCGAAAGACATCCTCACAAGAATCGCCGCAAAAAACACGGTCTAGGCGCGAGGAGATGATCCGTCGAGCAAAAACCGTGTGGGCTTGTTCTTCGAACAAATTCGCCCCATTTCTATTTCTTCGAGCACCCCTCTGCGTAGGCGTAGAGGCAGCAGGAGAAGCTCTTGCCGCCGCAATCAAATCGATGAACAACCAAAAACGTCCGCACAGCGGCAACGAAAAAGTCGGGAGAACTAGGTAATATCATGAGCGACACCTTGACATAAACATCAAGAGACGAGTAACCGTAGTCGCGTCTCCTACAACAACGTTGACCCTGACGTTTGCCGCTACGTCATGACTACCTGTCCCTGCATACGGGGACACACAGCCAGACCGAGCACAGAATTGATGGACGCGAAAATCTCATGCTGCCGCCACATCAAAACGAAGCACGAAAAAAGACACAGATTAACAACCAACAACCGGTGCCCATGCCTCATCCCTTGTACAACACTAACGGTAAAGGGTGAGAACACAAGCTACACGCCACTATAAGACATGAACACAAGCCAGTCAACAACAGCAACAACAACAACAACAACAACAACAACAACAACAACAACAACAACAACAACAACAACAACAACAACAACAACGACACTGCCAAAAAAGAGTCTGCTGCTTTACGAAACGGCACTACACGCGGAAAAAAACCCTCACACACCACGCTCGAATCTATACTGCAACTTACTGGGCGACACCCACAATCGATAAACTACCAAGTATTTTTCTGTTCCCCTGTGACGGGGCTTCGAACTCGCCAATGAGATCCATGTTGTATGTAGACCTCCAACAAAACAAAATAGAAATTGGTGATGTCGAAAAAAAAAAAACGTACGACAGGGCGCGCGGGACAATTACGTCCGGTTTCCGCGACGTGCACGACCCACGAAGGATAACAAACGCTAGCGTTGAGCAGGTGTTCATTTTATCATCGGACCCCACCGCTACGGTGGCCGGCTTCGCTTTGGGAGAACACGGAAGCCACCCGCCGGATTGAACGGACGCCTCTCGTGGCGTGAAGCCACCACCCGACAGCAGTGAGCACACGGTTAGAATAGAGGACGGGACCTGCGTTCCTTGCCGCGGGGCGCACCAAAAAACACCAAACTCTTTGTTGCTTGCTTCCCCCCCCACTCCCTCACTCTGTACCCTCGAGTTGAGATCCAAGTTGGGCGTTGCCGCCATTGTCCACCACCCCTACTACTTCTCGCCGGCCCCCTCCCTCCACATCGCCCTTGCCCATGCTGCCGAACCACTTCTTGGTCGAGTCGAACAGCTCCGTGGGGGCGCCGGTCACGCCAGCCCCGCCACGAGCCCCAGCCCCGCCCGGTCTGGACACCGTCGTGGACGCCTTGTCCCCGCACGCGAGGAGGGGCGCCGTGTCGAAGTTTGCCCGGTCCACGACCCTGGCCTTGCCGCTAACGCCGTCGCCGACTCCTCCGCGGCTCTTCGGCGAGCCTTCCCACCCGACCGTATCGGTCAGCCGGCCGGTGTCGAAGCTATCCGCCTGCAACGACGGTGGTGTCTTCGCCTCGTCTTTGCCGGTGGCACCATCAGCACCGCCACCGCCGCCGCCGCCGTCGCCGCCGTTATTTGCTCCTTCCGTCGGCGGCGCCGTGGCAGCGTCGTCTCGGTTGTTGTTGTTCAGCGCAGACGGCAGCGTTGGCGAGTCCCCGGGGGCGAGCTCGCCGCTGCTGCCGCCGCCGCCACAGCTGCTCATGATGCTGGCGTACGAGAGGAACGGGCGGAGGGTACAATCGCCGGCGCCGCGCTCCTCCTTCGCCGCGATTCGCTGCTGGTGCCGGCCGACTCGGTCGTCGTTAGCGCCGCCATCGTAGAAGCAGTCGTCGAAGTCGTGGCTCCCGCTGCTGCTCCCGCTCGTGATGGTGCTCACCCCGCTGCTGCCCACGCTGCTGCTGCACAGCCGCCGCAGGTGCTGCTGCTGCTGCTGCTGCTGCCACGCCTTGTGCTGCTCCGACGCCCGCCTCTCCTGCGAGCGCCTGAGCACCGAGGGCGGCGAAAGCCTCGGCTGCGACTGCCTGAGCCCCTCCTCCACCATCATGTTGTTGTCGAACGACATGGAAAGGAGCCCGGGCAGCGACCTCGGCGTCGGCGGCAAAGGGGTGGAGGCGACGGGAGCCGCCGCCGCTTGCGAACCGGCGCTAAGTCCGCCCCCCGCCGCGCGGTTGTCCCTAACGTTTGTGGGGTTGTTGCCTGCGCTTGATCTCCACACGCCCGTGCTGTCCTTCCCAGGGGTAGTGACGCCGCCACCTGGAGGCAGTGGCGGGGTCTCATCGCGGAACAGTCCCGCCGACAGTCCCGCCGATGATGATGCCGCTGCCGCCGCCGCCGCGCCCCCGGCCTTCGCAGCCGCCTCCAGCTTGCCGTCTTTTCGTGGTAAGCTCGGGTGGCCGTTGTCGTCGACGTCCGCGACGGAGTTGAGGCCGCCGCGAGCGACGCTGCCCTCGTCGGCAGCGGTGTCAAAGCGGGGCCGGCGGCAGGAGTCGGACCGGTTGCTGCCGTTGCCGCCACCGCTGCTGCCGCCGCCGCCGCTGCAGGAATTCTTCCTCTGGAGCGCTTTCATCTCCGCGGAGGCCACGGCCACGATAACGACGGCGTCCCTCAGGGCCTTGTTGGTGCTGATGGTGTGCGAGCTGTAGGTGCTACTGTCGTCATCGTAACCACCATTGTTGTTGTTGTCGTTGTTGTAGTCACCGCCGCCGCCGCCGCTTTTGCCGTGAGGGGTGTAGAACTCGTTGTTGTCCATCACCAGGTCCGCCACATCGATCTCGGGCCTCACCCACCCCTCCTCCCTCCCGCCCCCGAGCTCCTCCCCCTCTTGCCCTCCTCCGCTCGACACGAAACCCCCGTCGTCCTGCCGCTCGAGGCCACCGCCGGCCTCCGTATCGCCGAAACCGCTCCCGCTGCCGCCGCCGCCGCCGCCGCCGCTGGATCGGGAGGCCGACCTCGCGTACGGCCGGACGGGCACGTCGAGGCCCGAGAACGGCTGCGGGAAGTGCTCGTAGTTCTCCGGCCCCGCGAGGGCAAGAAGCGCGGCCGAAGAGAGGACGGAGGAGGAGGAGGAGGCGCCCGCCGCCGTAGGGGAAGACGACGGCGCCACCACGCCCCCGTTCGCCGATGTCCCGCCGCAACCGCCGGCGGCGGTTGCCGCTGACGCAAAGGTGGCCGGGACCGAGGATGACGAAGCGGGGGCGGCGGCAGCAGCAGCGGAGACCACTACCCTGCCGCTCTCGATATCGGAGACGGAGTGCACTTCGTTGCCGTCGACCGCTGTCGCCGGCGGTGCACCTGCCATTGATCGGGGGACGGGGAGAGGGTTTCTACTTTCCGTGACGAAAGGGGGCTACGAGTAGAACTGGACTCGCGGGAAACGCATCACGTCGACCGGGCTATAGATAAAGCGTCTACAGGGCGGATCACAAGAGGGCAAGCGGAGGCAACCCCACCAACGGCAAGCGGCACCTCCACGAGAACAAGAGAGCGCGAGAGAGAGAGAGAGAAGACTATTAGAAACAACAGCCGGGAAAAGAGAAAGACTGTGGCGCTGGGTATTCAGCATGGTGGACTAATCGAACATTTTTAGGGGGCGGATACTTCTACCGCTGCCCACACTGCTTGCTGTGTGCAAGCTGCCTCGTGGGAACTCAGAACATGCTTGTTGGCGATCATCTCTCCTGCGTGTCTCTGTCTTTTTCCACTCTCTCTCCCCCCGCCCCCCCCCAACCTCTCAGGGGTCGCCCACAAGACGTCCTACGACTTTGGGTAACACGGGCATCCTGTTCCGTCTCTCACAGCCCCCTCACCGTCACGCTCGGCAGGCGGGACCTCCCCCTTCCCCGATGACGATTGTCTGTTGGGCGGGGGCGCGGACACCGGCGTCGCTTCCTCGTCTACAACTGCCGCTATCGTCATCGTTGATTCTGCCGTTGCTTCTGCTAGGGCCGCTGAGGCTGCATGACAGGCGGGCGTCGGGGGCAAGAGAGATGAGAGCAAGGTGTGACTATTTTACCTGCCGGAAACATGAATCGCCACCGACGTTGTTAAACACGCAAGAGAAAGAGAGAAAGAGAGAGAGAGAGAGAGAGAGAGAGAGAGAGAGAGAGAGA